TCCGGTCTCTCTTTCATGTCTTTCCTTTCTTGTTGATCAGTGCTAAAGGTTTTTCATCCAGGTTTTTAATTCTTTAATTTTTATGGTTTGGACAGCTGAAAATACCCACCACAGAGGAGCGTGGTGCTGAAGAAAAAATTCTGTTTTTCTGAAAGAAGCCGAAAGCCAGAAGTTCTGATTTTTTATATTTTTTTCTTTAAGCTTGTGCTTTTGCTTACTCTCTGTATGCCTTACAATCTCCTTTTTGATTTTTCCTGAAAAATAAGTACCACTATCAAAACAAAGGGCCACTGTTCAATTTGCTATCGACAAACATCTTTTGTATTCGCAAAGAACCATCTTCAATCTACCACCTAGTGAATGAAAGAAATTTATGGAAAATACGCTTGCTTGTTTTCCCTGTACGACAGTCTATTGACAGGCCGCAGGTATACCTAATAATGGCTGTTTTTATTCCGGAAATTTCAAGGTTATATACAAACTAAATGAACTAGCACTTGTGGTGCTGTGTCAGTTAGCCTGCGTAGCTGGTGGGTCATCAGTGCACGCACTGAGGCAGAGGAGTTGCGAAGCAGGGCGGAGAATGGGGAAAAGACAATTTTCTCACGCTTTTGGCGCTCGCTTCTCGCACCTTCGCCGCAAAAACACTTACGCTCACGTACAATCAATACCACCAACTACACAGGCTATGTCGGTGACGAGAGTGAAACGAAAAAATTTGTTTTCATTGTTAATTTGTCAAACAATTGTTCGTATTTAAGTCAAATTTGATAAACTTAGTTTTTGCACCTTTCTATACAAAACTTGCTTTTAGATAACTAGAGTGACGATATCGAGTGATCCCTTCAAAAAGTACGTTCGACCCAACGTTTTTAAAACAAAATCGGCTATTTCTATAGTAATCGTTGTTAGTAGACGTATTAGGCTCTACGCTGGAATAACCCTTTTAAATATTCAGTTGGCCATCACGTTTCTTTTCCCATTATGGTTTGTCTATATCAAAAGTGCTAGTAAAAATACATATAACACAGGCGCGAAAAAATGGAATAAAAGCTGAGGCACAAAGACCGCCACTTGACTTTTTCAGGAATAAGCTCATCTATCCAACCCAATCTGTTGTATCCCGGTTTCAATGATTACGAATAGGAATCTGCGGGCTTTAAAAACACAAGTTTCTTGAGACAGCTTAATTTAATACAACAAAGAATGCAAAAAATCTAAAAAACATATTTACACGTCAATTTCTAACAGTCGTACCCAACAAAACCATAACCTTCTTTTCTTTTCGCAAGGATTAAATTCGCTTATTAATGTTTATTATAAATTAACGAACACTGTTAACTACTTAAGTACTTGTATCCATGGCAACCGACGTATCATCTCTGTCGCGATGGCAACAGCGCTCCCAGGATCTTTCTTTCTTTAACTGCATCTGAAGAGTAAAAAGAAAGCTTCAAGGAGCTGTATGATTGCGAGAAGCAGTCGTTATGTCAGCCCACAAATGACCTGCTCATCACTAGAGTTCTTAGTAGCTCAGTAGTTTAAGCATCCGACTAGTGTCTGGAAGGTAGTGGCTTCAACTCCCATCTAGAACTCAGAATTTCTTTCCTGAGTTCTTCTCTCCACACACATCATTTTATTTATTATAAAAATAACCGCTCAGAAAATGAAAATAAGATGTAAATAACTGAGCAAATAAAAAAAGAGGAACGGATGGACAAACGTAAAGATGATATAAACGGATTGCAATTTGTGGTTTTTGAAAACTTGTTAACCAAACACTTTATCAACCTTCATACCTGATATTTGTAACGTTTGATTTAATGCTTGAGAGACATGTTTGTTTGACACGAAGCTCTGATTTTGTCATTCACAAGTAATTTCTCACATTTCATTACGAATACGGACGCGGCGTGATAGGCATTAGGGTTGATTTCCAGTGTCGCGTAATTTTTACGTGCGTACGTGCGTAAAGGTCGCTCGTACGCGTAAAAGTTGAACCTCGCTCAACTTCTTGTTTAAGCTCAACACTTTTCATCTTGCCTCTATTTTAATTACATGATTAAAATTTACGTGCATTAACGTGCATAGCCAAAAACGCGTCAGTGGAAATCAACTCCTAGAGAGATCAAGCATCGCGTTTACCGCAAACGGCAAATGTGAATTTGTACCACGTGACCAAGTTTTCCATTGACTTGTCGTTTACCATTCATTATAACGACACGAAAATCGGTGGATTCACGCCAATTCTATCCATAAGAATTGTTTTAAGCTGTTTTCTGAAAATTCCTCAACTTGAATCTCACGTTTGCCGTAAAAGCGATACTTAATCTCTCTATTGTTAACAAAATGAACTACACAGCCTTGACACGGCCCCTTTAAGAAACCATGACAACGACGCCAAAGGGAACGTCAAAGCAACCGACAGTGGGACGTCAACAAAGGAATAGGTTTAGTAAAGGAAAAACAACAACTTTGCTCGTGCATCACACTTTCCGGAACATTCACTCGTTATCGCTGCATAACTACGACGTGAAATTTCCTAGTACGGCGTTGTGTGTAGGGCGTGAACACACGAAGACGAATTTGAGTGACGTACCTAAGAATTCACCGCAGAAAAGATCAGCAACATTTAAAAAATGGAGCTCTCCGGCATTCCGCTCCAGTAAGCACAGACAACGAAACGAGGTCAATGTAATTTATCACCCAAGCCTTGAGCTGGTGCCTTTGTTCAGAGGAATGCGAGAACGATCTAGTGAGCGAGTTGGAA